TGCTCTGGTGTGCTGTTTGCCCTTCTGGGCTGAATATACAAGAAAGGGATTTGACTGGCCTTTCAGTGAAAGCCTGTGCAAAGTGACATCAGCTGTTATCTACATGAATGCGTTCTGTAGCATTTACTTCCTTGTTCTGGTTAGCATAGATCGTTATGTGGCACTGGTGCACCCACTTTCCCATGAGAGGATACGCCGGCCGTTTTATGCCAAACTGGGATGTCTGTTTGTGTGGGGTCTTGGCTTGGTCTTTGCTCTCCCCATATTCATCTACAGGAAGTTAAAATTCAACTCTCGGTTAAATCTTACTCACTGTTCACTTAACCTAACTTTTCCAGAGCAATATCTGGCATCTGAGGTGACAACCATAACATTCAGCTTCATCGTCCCTGTTATCATTATTTTGTTCTGCACTGTCAAAATTATTCAAACTCTGAGAAAGAGGCTAATGGAGGTTTTAAACATTCAGAAAACGGATCAGAAGGCCACCACTCTCATCCTGGCAGTTCTCCTGGCATTCCTGATCTGCTGGGTGCCATTCCACGTAACAAAGATACTAGATGTGCTCCAAAACACTGGCATTCTGAAATGTCACATCACACTGACCATCGTCCAACAGATCTCTACGTACTTTGCCTTCTTCAATAGTGTCCTTAACCCCATTCTCTATGTCTTAGTAGGGAAAACTTTCCAGAAACGAGCAAAGGAACTCTTCATGTTGTGGAACAAGACTCGAACAGCATCTTTCAGCCGACTGTCCACACGCCTGACAAGTTTTAAATTGTGATCATAGCTCAAAGTGATATGCGGGACTGCGATCTTTTGGATGTGTGCTGTGATGGTTTACCCAGTTAAATGGACAATTATTTACTCAGGCAAGGAGAAAAATGTTGTTTTTGTAATCTGAATGTTTGTTTGTTTGTGCATGCATTACTTTTTCTTCAGAAAGGGATATTTAGCCATAACATGTTTATTTCCTAGAGGTGATACTGAAAGGCTGTCAGTCTGACTCTGCTTGGTGTAGTGAAGTCTGAGCGTTCTTTGACCGTTTCTCCAGTTGGAACATAACTCCTGGCTTTGGCTAAGAGAAAGTAGCATGCAGAAGACAGCTGGCATGGAGGAAAGGCTAAAGATAACAAGCAAGTCGTCTGAAATGTGATTCATGCAACTCTCCTGAAGTTAAAGAATGAAAATACACTGTTAGAAGAAAAGTCACAGTAGGACCTTTTTATTGTCTTGGGCTTTGTTCCATGTTTCATCAGACTCTGACAGAGGAGTGAATAACAGGAGACATTACCTCATACCTCAAACAAGTTTTGTTTTACCAACCGTCCATGAACCCGTATCTGTTTAGATGTCACATTTTGAAAAATATAATTATAAAACTATAATTGCAAATAATTACATTTAAGGCCATATTTGAGCTTTCGTTTGTGCTAAATTTCAATGAAGTTAAAATTCAATGGCAAGTAAGGGTGTGGTTGTTCTTCAAAACCAGTGATCCAGTATAGCTTTCTCTTGACATCCTGTTGACATTCGTAGCATGACAGGATATGAGGCTCAAATTTCAAATGTGCCATTCTACTGCTCATCCTCTAATTGATATCTATTAGACACAATTTCAGATTTAATGCCATAATAACCCTGCTTCATAATTGAATAGCATTCCCACCTTTATTTTATATTGCACATGTGATAAACACAAGCTGAGATAATGAAACAAATATGCAAAAGAGACGGCAGCAGTTTAACAGTGTTTATACTATTAACATAATATTTGCATGGTTAGATTTTCCACTTCACTTGTGGGCATGGTTATGTAGTTGGAGTGCTCTGTGCTGTGGCATGATGCAGATTTACTGCTACCAACTTGGATTGTTTCAGTGATGAACTTAAAGTTCAAAGAGGGATTTTTTTTCTTTGCATTATATTAAAGTATTGTGCTTCTATTCCCATTGCATCAAAAAGAAACTGCGTGTATATATGTAAGGGTTTTAACCTCCTAAGACCTGAACTCTTTCATGGCATGCATTTTTAATTTCTCTTTGGGCTGATTGGGACCTGATGATTGTAAAAAAAAAAAAACAAAGAATTATGTGATTTTTTTTTTTTACCTGATTTTCATTTCTAAGAACAATGTGATCCACATATGAGGACATTCGCTTTAAATTTTGATAGAACAGTAGCAGTATGTCCTCACAAGTGGATATTGGGCCCTTGTAGAGAAAAAAAACGTAGTATTGTGGTCTAGACAACCCTAAAATGTGATGTCCACATATGTGGACGCCAGGTCCTAGGAGGTTAAATTTACAGTTTAAATACAATTAACAATGCTTTAAGTAGTTTATTTATGGTTTAAAATCACAGATCACTGCTGGACACTGAAATGCATACCTCTTTTTCACAGCACTTTTAATGTAACACTCAATATTAATCACTTGTAGACAATAAATTAATAAAACGTTCCAGACTTGTTGTCCCCTGTGGTGTGGTTCTTTGTTACTTTTAATGCTTCTTTAAGCTGTCCATCACGAGTCTTACACTTTTTAAAAACAAGTCTGTATCCTCTATACTTCAGGTTCAGTGAGCTGCTAAAAGTAGCTGTTCTCAATCTGTGGCATGAGCCCCCCCTGGTGGGCCAGTGACCGACTACAAGTGAAGATGTGGGCAAAAAGTATGGAATTAAAGCTTGAGTAGGAAAAATTAACATTTTGCAGATTTATAAGCGGTCTGCAGTTACTTTATATCTGTGCAATGTCAAATTCTATTAGAAACCACCAAAACATTTTAAATAAAATGCACTTCCTAAATTTTGCAACAGTTAACTCATTCACTGCCATTGACGTCTATAGCCGTCAATTGCAGTGAATGAGTCAATGGGTTTAACTCATTCACTGCCAATGGCTGGCAGTGAATGAGTTAAATGTCTGTGTTGCACTACATGGGACATTTAGAGCAGATCTGGCCACAAATCAGAGATGGCATGAGTTTTATACACTGGACAGCAGCAACTCCAACAAGCCTTTATTTGGTAAGCAGGAACCAGCTCTCTATGCAAGATATGTGGTTAGTGGGCTGTCCATGCCTGCTTTGTCTCAAGAGTGCACATTGCAATATCCAGAGGTGGGAAGTAACGAAGAACAAAATATTTCATTACTGTACTTAAATTTTCAGGAGGCTGTACTTCACTTGAGTATTTATTTTTCTGACCGCTTTTTACTCCTTACATTTTTAAACAAATTTCTGTTCTTTCACTTTTTACATGTTCACAACAGGCTCATTACTTTTGGTTTTAACAGATTTGAAGGCAGTTATTTTTAGGTCACTGTGGGCCTTCGAACAGGAAACAGATTAAAGCCTAAACAGTAACACATGAAAGGCAGTCCTGTTCACCTATTAATCAACAGGGTATGTGGCACACAAAGAGATGAAAAGGGGAACGCTGCATGCCATAATCAACGGTTAAAGTGGGCTGGCGTTTTTATTTATTAATTTCTTATATTTATGTTTTGTGGCACAGCACCATGACAACTGCAGGTGTCCACAAGTTGTGGTTGCAGAACTTCAGTATCCAGCTGGCCCTGCAGGGGCCAGTTCAGAGGGAACTGTGGTGAATTCAAAGTAAAGTGCGGTGTGTGACTGCTGTGTGGCTGTGGTTTCATGGTCAGAGTTAAGTTGCATTAAGTGT